GGATCATGGCCGAAGACTAGAGGATGACCGGGCCTGGCAGGGAGCTGCTGACGGGGGCATGATAGACCGGGACCACAAGCGGTGGCAAGGTAAGGAGTGACTTGGTGGGTGGAGACCCGGGACAGGGAGGAGAGCGCCTGCCCTGGGGCTCCGGCCCCTCAGGCCACCTGGAGCTGGCGGTTGGAGGTGCTCTGGGGGTCTGGATAGGCACTGTGCAGGGGGTGTCCGAGGTCCTCCCCACCTGACGCAGTGAGGGCGCGGGGACTGCCAGCTCCTGGCTACGCAGGTGCCTCAGTGGTGAGGCCTGGAGGGCGGGGGAAGCGGGAGGAGTGGAGGCCCCGAGTGCTGTAGCACCGATGCCCGTGTGACCTCGCTCGGCCTTTCTTCCAGGTGGTGAGAGGAGCATGTCTGGTCACTCGGGGCCTGGCCACATGATGAACCGGGGCGGCATGTCAGGGTAAGGTGGTGGTCGGTGACACTTGAGACTCTTGCTGGGATGCTCCACCTGTTCCTTCTCTGCATGATGGCTTGCCAGGGTGACAATTTAAAATCCCCAGCTAGCCCCCTTGCCTTCTGAGTGGGACACCAGGTCAGAGGGCTGCGGCTCAGGAGGGGCTCAGGCGGGGTTGGGCAGTCGCAGGGGGCCTACCCTTCCTGGGCCCACCAGTCCCAGGACAGAGTGGGGCTTGGGAACGGCCACGGCCTGTGGGAGGGCTCCAGACCCGAGATCCTGACTTCTTCCTAGGCGAGGCAGCTTTGCCCCAGGCGGGGCCTCCCGGGGCCACGTGATCCCGCGTGGAGGGATGCAGGGCGGGTTCGGAGGACAGAGCCGGGGCAGCAGGCCCAGCGATGCCCGCTTCACTCGCCGCTACTAAGTAATTTGAATCCTGTGTTCCTGTCACGTGGCCAGAGTATGTTCTGTTAGGAGTTCTCTTAAACCGTGTACAAACCATTTTTTTTATCTGCTGCCATATTGTAGCTCAATACAATGTGAATTGTTTTTTGTTTTTTGTTTTGTTTTTTGTAATAAAGGTGTTTCTGTTCACATGCCCTTTACTCATTTATAAAGTGTGGCTTCTGTTTCTGCCAGTGAAGGGCAGGGGGTGGGGCTGTGGGGCCGAGGGACTTGCCAAAGCCCAYGCAGAGGTGCAGGGCTCACAGGGTCGGCAGGGCCATCTTGTCCCTCCCTCGCCCAGGCTCAGCGGTTTTGGTGACTGAGCTCCATCCCTGGCAGCCATGCCAGGAACCCGCCCAGATCCAGGCAGGTGGGACTWGGCCGCCTGCCCAGGAAAGGAATAAGCAAATGACATTGAAAACATGAATTTAACGCAGTTTAATCCAGCTGGGGAGGAGCGTCTGAGTTACTTGGGCACCAATCCTCCAGAAGTAGGTCCAGCTGACAGAAACGCCAGGGGGTGGCCTGCTGTCACCCAGCACAGCTGGTGGTAGTGTCGCGTTTCCAGTGTCCGTGGGAGGGAGCTCAGGGAGCCTTAAATTGGAAAGGGGAGCGGCGAGACAGGGTGCTGGGCCACCACAACACACCTGGGTGGCTGAACACAGCTGTGCCACCAAGTGTCTCCAGTAGAGATGCACCTGGCAGCGCTTGTACCTGTGAGTCCCACTGTGTGCGTTGCTGGGTCGCGGTGTCCCAGCTGTGTCTACTGACCCTGTTGGTGTTAGAGAACCACTGGAAGGGCATCGGCTGCTCTGTGGTGCCATGAAGTCCCATCCCGAGGACACGGTACACAGCCACCTCTGGTGAGGGAAGGCCTCCTCCTGTGGCTCACCTGCACGGGGCTGGTGCTGTGGACACTGAGCTCCCTGCAGGCCACGCCCACGGGGTTTACAAGCCGCTCTCCAGGGGAACTGGGCAGCACCAAACAACCCACAGAGACCTTTTTCTTTGGGTCCTGTGACGGCTCCTCTGACCTTAAGGGTCCGCGGAAAGAGCGAGCCAGTGCTGAGGAGAAGCCATTCAAATGAGGCTGGGGTCAGGATTCRGGGGGCCGAGTCTGGCTTCGCGATGTCTGCTGTCAGCAGGTTGACTGACATCTAGGAAGGCCACCCCCAAGGGCAGAGCAAGAGAAGGGGACACCCAAAGTGTCTCCATGGAACATTCTGTCCCAAACAGGGCAAGGGGTAACATCACCAAGGAACAGGTGGGCGTAGCTCTGTCCATGGGCAGCACACCTACGTCTGAAGACGTGCCCTCAGCTTCCTGAACTGGGGCAACGTCCAGGTCCCTATGCAGTGACTGGTCAAAGCCTCTTGCTCCAGGATGTTAGGCGGGAATCGTCAGAGTGGCATTTGGCCAGAGTGGCCCCCCGGGGGAGGGGTCAGTGCACTTGAAGGCAGGGGACCCTCTGGACCTGCCTGCTTTGGAAGAGCTCAGACAGCAGAGGGCCAGCCTGAGTGCACAGGCTGTGGAGAAGGCTACACCAGCAGCAGGCGGCGGCCGTGCGGGACACACCTGGAGCTGCAAGGTGGCGAGCCCTTTGGCCCAGCCTGGGCCTGACAGGAAGCAGCAGAGGCAAGGACGACAGTGGGGCTCGCCTCATTCTGGGTCCCCTCATCTCCAAAGCACTGGTGGCTCTGCCAACAGCCACTGGCTCCAGTGAAGAAGGTGGTCGTGTGGACGTCAACAGGAAGTCCAGGCGGGCGGCTCCGTGAAGACTGTCCCACTTTCTATTTATTTTGGTGCCGAGGAGGATCAAACGCAGGGGCACTCGACCACTGAGCACACATCCCCAGCCCTGTTTGTCCTTGATTTAGAGACAGGGCTCATTGAGTTGCTTAGCACCTCACTTTTTGCTGAGGCTGGCTTTGATCCTCCTGCCTCAGCCTCCCCAGCAGCAGGGATGACAGGCATGCGCCACCCTCTCCCTTGCACCAGGTCCTATCCATTTTTTTATCTTGAGACAGGGTCTTGCTAAATTGCTAGGGCTTCACTAAATTGCTGAGACTAGCCTCAAATCTGCAATCCTCCTGTCTCAGCCTAACCTAACCCTAAGTCCCCTCACGGCCTTCCTTTGAATACCCAGGCAGTGTGCATTTGCTGGAAGCAGAACTCGGCTATGATTTTTTGGTGGGCGGGAACACAAGGACGACGGGCCCACCTGCGGGTGAGCACCCACCACATCCTCAGCCTCCAGTTCAAACAGGGTGGCCTTGATTACAGGCGGCCCCTCCTGGTGCCTGTGCTGGTGGTCCCCCACCCACTGCTGCCTCTCACCTTCTCACGATAAGGGGAGCCCCGAGGACCCCAGCCTTCAGCCTTTGGCAGGGGCTCCAGCCCTGCCTGGCTGGCGGGCGTCCACGCCTGCCCCCTGGAACCCCAGCCTGCACACGTGGCCCAGGGCACACTGGACCACCAGAGTGCCCGAGCTGTTGGACTCGGCGGCTTGGATGGGGGTGAAGGGCCCACAGGGGCCATCAGCGGCCTCCAAAGGCTGGTCAGCTTTCCCATCAGCTCTGCTGGGGACTCGCATCACAGGGGGGGCGGGAAGGGAAAAAACAGGGGAATGACATTGTTCTACTGCGTGCAGGCACAAATACCTAACACATGCCACCAGTATGTCCAACTATGGCGCACCAATAAAAAAATACGTGGTGGGGGGTCAGCACTGGGCCCCTAACAGCTGTGACACAGGGCAGGAGCACCTTGGCGAGTCCCCTCCTGGCCAGGCTTCCTCCCCCTCTGTGACAGCCACTGAACTCTGGGGCCACCTGAAGCAATGGCTGCCACCTGGCACAACCCAGGCATCTTGAGCACCAGGCCAGGCCCCAGCAGATCCTGGTCAAACACCAGGACACCTTGGGTGTGAGGTATGCGATGTGGCTCACCGCCTGGGCTGCAAGTGACAGGAGGTTTTGCATTTGGCCAGGCAGGTCCCGTCATTGGTAGAACAGGCCTGGGAGCCTGTCCCTTCCCAGGGCTGCTGGAAGGGCTTGGTAGACAGGCCGGGCAGGGCATGGGTTTCTTCCTCCACAGCACCAGGGGACGGGGATCCTCGCCAATCCCCCTCATTCCACCCTCACCAAGGGCTATCAAGGACAAGAGGGGCACAAGGAGCCATGTGGCTTCCCAATGAGGAAGTGAGGGAGTCCCCATTCCTGGGTCTCAGTGGCACAGGACCTATGGGATGCCCGTCCCCTGCCCAGGCATTCCCAGCCACACCCTGCCCTGTTCCCCACTCAGGCCAGTCAGACAGCCTGGAGAGCTGCCCAGTCCTCTGCTCCCTTCACCTCTAATATCTGTCCCCTGCTGAGCTCTCTCGCCTGCTCCCCGAAACTCCTAGGAATGGGGATCCTGCTCCCTGTCCTGGCACAGCATCCTGGGAAGGAATCCGACTCCCACCCAGGCTGTCTCCTCCCAGGGAAACTGCTCTCTGGATTCCTGACACTGATTCCTTGCCGTCACGAGCCATGGGGACACACTCTGTGGCTGGGTACCAGGGGCTTCCCAGGAGCCTTAGACAGACCCACCTTGCTGGAGCTTCCGTCCTGTGGGGGCACAGAGCACAGGCAGCCAACACAGTGTCCCCAGGAACAAGGGAGACTTGGGAGAGGAGGCAGGGCCTGGGTTCTGGTGGACGTCCCTCAGGCACAGGGCCCACAGGCCTGGGCGCTCAGGAATTACCAGGTTGTCAGAGAGAGAGTGGCTGACGGTGGTGGCCAGGAGACCAGGACTGGACTAGGACCCAAGGGGCTAAGCAAGCGAATCAGTGGCCTTGGGGCTCCTGTGGGTGGCATGTGGGTGCTCACTGACTGAGCCCCTTAGACTGATTCCCTAGGCTCAGTCAGCCGGGATCATGAAGCCCCTGCACAGGCTCGACCTTCCTGACCAGGACCAGCTGTCCACCGTGACGCCCCACATCARGTTGACAGTCCATGACAGCAAAGGAGTAAACCAGCTTGAGAACAAGGTCCAGCCTCAAGGAACCACTAGGAGGAGCCAGAAGCTCAGGCCCAACCGTGACCCCGGCAGCACACAGGTGGCAGAACAGTTCTGAAGTCCTTTATTGGGCCAGCAAGGCTGGGAGCTGCCCTTGGCGTGGGGTCCCAGTCGGGAATCGGGAGCCCCCGGCACCCTGCCCAGGTCCGCAGGTGGACAGCCTCTGCAACTCCTACTTGATGTGCTCCTTCACGTACTCCCAGCCCTCCCTGGAGTACTCCTGGGCCTTGGAGGGAACCGCAGACAGCAGGGACATCACCTTGATGATGCCTGAGGGGGCGGGGGGGGGGGGGGGGGGGGGGGGGGGGGGGGGGGCGGGGGGGGGGGGGGGGGGGGGGGGGGGGGGGGGGGGGGGGGGGGGGGGGGGGGGGGGGGGGGGGGGGAGGGAGGCCGCTGTGAGGCTCCAGCCCCTAGCCTCAGCCGCGCCCCAGGGAAGCCCCAAACTTGCAACAGGCAACTGAAGCAGATGCAGGGCAGGGCCTGGCTCAGTGTGGCCCTGGCCACCTGCCCCCATTCTACCAGGCAACAGCCCCGCCCTCCCGGGAGGCTCTACCCCCCTCCATTTCCCCAGAATCCCCACCCCTTCGCCTCTTTTAGATCCATGGGAGACAGGAGGAAGGACGACAGGAAAGAAGGGCCAGGAAGCCAGGAGGGGAGCCATGTTGGGGTGCCATGGGCCACACTCTGCAGAGGCACAGGGCCTACCTGAATTCCAGGACTCGCGGATGGGAAAGTTGATCTTTGGAGGGGCTGGGAGCTGGGGGAAAAAGGAGCAGAGCCTGGGGAACAGGGAAGGGCTCTGCCTCCCAGCAGCCCCAGGCATGCAGAGGACACCAAGCCAGGCTGGAGGACTGAGGCCACCCCAGAGCCACACGCACTCCCAGCCGTACCTGTGGTATCTGCAGGCCTGTCTGCCGGGACACGTACTGGCTGAACTGGTGCAAGGCAGGGGGCACCACCTCCTCGGCCTTCCGCAGGGCGGCCTCACTCTTGTCACTGGACCCCAGCAGATCCTGGTCATACACCAGGTAGGTGGCACCACCAGCCACACTGCCTTTGAGGAGGAACCTGCCGCAGGGAAAGGAGCTCACTGTGTACTGCTGGCCACCCACGAGGAATGTGACCCTCCTGGGGGGTTCCCAGTCCAGATGACACTCATGTGGCCTGACAGCTAGCTGGGGAAACGAAGGGCACCCTGAGAGCCCAAAGGTGCTACAGCACTGAGTTCTCACTGCACAAAGCAGAGCCACTCAGGGCCACTGCAACTGGAAAATGAGGCAGGAAAATGGTCACTGGGGTTATTCAAGGTCCCTCAGAGTGCAAGGGACAGTGAAGACTTGAGACACCTAACCTGTCGGGAGCCTTCCTGCCCAGGGTGGGCTCTCGGCGGGCAAGCCGCTGGTTTTTTTCTAAGTGTCGCAGGGCGCTTCCCGTATGTCACTCGCTGCTTTGGGAGCATTAACCTCGGGACAAACGCGAACGGTAGGATTCCCTGGGCACTCCCGTTTCACAGACGCGGCAGCTGAAGCTTGGAGAGCTCTCGGGCAAGTGAGCCGAGCGACCAGGGATCGCCAGGAGGAAGCGGGAGGCGACCGCGACCCGGCGAGGCCCGTCCCAAAGAATCCGATTCCCTACGTCGGCCAGGGAGAGGGGACTGACACCTCGGAGAACCGGCCGAGTAGGAGCCCGCAGGAGGGGGCCCGCCCGAAGCCCCACGCACCTCATCACCGACCACACTCGCGACACCATGGTCGCTCCGTTCCGCGCGCAAGGACACTGCACTCGCCCGCCGCTTCCGGTCTCGGTGCCGCACAGGCCTCTGGGAAGCGTAGTCCTCCTCGTCTGCCGCAAAGCCCTCTGGGAGTGGTGTCTTGTTTCGCCTCAGGCTCCTCCGCAGGGGCCTCTGGGAAATTCAGGACTCGTCCGCCGCACAGCTCTCTGGGAAATGTAGTGCGGCCGGACCCAGGGGTAAGAGGCCTCAGGGGTCTGGAGTGAAGCCTGAGGTGACCCAGAAAGATGTCGAATCACGAGGGATCCCGAGCCGGCGCAAATGACTGGAAGAGCACGTCTAGAAAGCGGTCGTCACGGCAACGCGAGGCTAGTTCGAGAGAGGCGGGCCCGTAGCACGTGACCGGGCTCGGGGCGGCGGCGAGCGGGAGAGCCCGGCGGAGGCCGTTGCCTGGCAACGCCGGGGCGCGGAGTCCCGCTCACGTCCCCTCCCATAGGAGGTGGGCTCGAAGTCACGTGGCCCCGCCCTACGGGAGGGGGCGCGGTCGGGGTCCGGCCGAGCGCCGCCGGGAAGGTAGGCCCGAGGGTCGTTCACGCCCGGACCCCGGMCCCGCTGGCGGCGGGGAAACTGAGGCCCGAGGGGGTGAGTGCGCGGCTGGGGACACGCAGGGGTCTCACGCCCCCCTGTCCCGGCGGGAAGCGAGGCCGGTCGCGGCGCCCGTGCGTTCTGCCAGGTCTGGTGCCCCTTCCGCCCGCTGCGTCCCGGCTGCCAGGCCCCCGTCTCCACCCGCCACCGGCCCGCCTGCCTGTCCCTCTGCACCCGCCTCCTTTGCTGGACCAGGGGTGGGAGGAGCCCCTCGGGGCGCTTCGTGCCCAGTCCCTGGGAGTGAGACGTGGAAGCGCGTGTCGGGCTTGGTGGCCCTGGCTGGGACGGCTGGGGGATCCGCTCCTCTGAGCACCCAAAGGTGCAGAGATAGGCGGTGGGGTGATGGGTGGGCAGCGCCAGACCCGCGTGGCCCGTGGTGAGGGCTTTGGGCCCTCTGGGGCAGGGGGAGCCCTGGACAGGCTTGCAGCTGCAAGGGGCTCGGCCAGGATGCCTTCCAGAGACCCCTCTGGCTGGCTCCAGGGGGCGGGAAATTAGGGAGAGGAGCGGAGATCCGGTTCCCCCAACCCATCATCCCGCCGCTCCCCGCCCTCGCAGCTTCTGGATTTGTGAAGACCCCCGTCCTTGTCCCGTGGACTTCAGAGGACAGCAACCCCAAGGTTGGATGGGCTTGTGGGAGACCGTGGTCCCCAGAACGTGAGGAATCTGGCTTGTTGCCCTCTTCCTCCTTCTCCCCCACACTGAAGGCATGTCTTCACCCCATGAGGGGCACTTCTGTGTCCACCCATCCCCAAGTGTCCAGCCCTCTGGTGTCTCCAGACAGACCTGTCTCTCTGGACTCCTCCAGCTCTTGCCTATCCATTCCCCATAGCACTCCATGTCAACCTAGGGTCTACTGAGCACATGTTGTATACCTGGCATGGCTTTGGGTACTGAGGACCAACAGCCAGGTGCAGTGGACCATACCTCTAATCAGTGGCTCAGGACCCCGAGGCAGGAGGCTGGCGAGCTCAAGGCAGCCCAGGAACTTAGCGAGGCCCTGAGCCATGCAGTGAGACCCTGGCTCAGAGAGGGGAACATCAAAGGGCTGGGGCTGGGGCTCAGTACCAAAAACCAACCAGCCCTACAGGGAGGAACACAGAAGCCGTTGTCGCTCTTCTTCCTGCCCTCAAGGTGTGACCCTCTGGGGGGAGAGGGGGCAGTGAACACAGGAACGTGCTTCCAGGCCAGGACAAGTGCGGAGGTGGGGAGGAAGACGGGGTCAGGGAGGGGGCGGCTGCAGCAGCTCTAGGGAGGCGGCTCAGGGTAGGGCATCTCTACAGGAGGTCACTCTTGTGCTGAGACTTGAAAGAAGCAAGAGGCCGATGGCAGTGCCAGCACAGGGGTCCTGAGGCAGGGTGGCGCCTGGCTGTGGCCGGTTTGGGGAACCGAGAAGAGGCTAGTRGAGTGGAGCAGAGGGGAGAAGGATCCTGTCCACACAGCTTTTTGGTCATCAGGATTCTGGCTTTTGTCCTCAATGAAAGAGTCATCAAAGGGGAGGGAAGCTGCGATCTGCCTGTTGGGTGGCTTTGAGAAGTGGGGTCACTGAAAAGTGTCCCGAGTTCAGGTGGAGGATAGTGGGGGGCTGGACCTAGTGGTCGCCATGGAGGGGGAGAGGAGGGGCAGGTCCAGGGCCACAGTGTTACCAGATGCTCATCAAATGAAGGCCCACCAAACAGGTGTGGCTGCGGCCAGCCCCTCCCGGCTCAGGCCCCCAGGCCATGAAGGTGCTGCTCCTCACGGGGCTGGGGGCCCTGTTCTCCGCCTACTACTGGGACGACAACTTTGAGCCAGGTGAGCGCCCAGGGTGTGGGGAGGGAGGAATCCCGCCGGCTCTGCCCTGCCCCTGCCTGACCCCCTGCTCACTGCAGCCCGTCTCCAGGGAGCCCGCGTGCTGCTGACCGGGGCTGCGGGCGGCGCTGGTGTTGGTGAGGAGCTGGCCTATCACTACGCCCGCCTGGGCTCCCACCTGGTGCTCACTGCCCAGGCCGAGGCCCTCCTGCAGAAGGTGAGCCACCCCATTTCCAGATGGATGGCTGGGGGCTTGTGAGGAGAAAGAAGACCTAAGTTTGAACTTCTGTAATGGGCTTCCTCGGGAAAGTCGCCTAACCTCTCTGAGCCAGTTTCCTTATTTGCAAAATGGAGACACAGACCTTCCCTTGGGTTCTGGGTTGCGCTGAGCACAGTGAAGGAGTGGAAAGCAGGAAGTGCCCTTCAGGAAGGCCTTGCTGATGGCCAGGGTCTCCAACCCAAAGGCCAGGGGCCCTCCTTAGCAACAGCTGTTAGTGCTTGGGGGGATGCCCGAGAGAAGCCGGAAATCAACGTGTGTGGAGCCCCCGGGGACTTGGGTGTTGGTGCGCGGCTCTTTTTAGCCGCAGTGTGAAGCCTTGAGAAGGATGCCCTTGGGACCTGAGCTCAGAATAGAGGCGGGGCTTCAGGTGGGATCCTCCGTGTGGCCGGCAGGGGGGGCGGCTGGGGAGGAGAGGCCCACGGGCAGCTCTGGCCCCCCAGGTGGTGGGGAACTGCCGGAAGCTGGGCGCCCCCAAGGTCTTCTACATCGCCGCGGACATGGCCTCCCCCGAGGCGCCCGAGCGCGTGGTGCAGTTTGCGCTGGACAAGCTGGGTGAGGGGCGGGGCCTGGAGTCTGGAGCAGGGTACCCTGGCCTGAGCCTCAGGGTCGGCGGAACTGGGGTGGGGTGCCGTGGGGGCGGGTGTCTGGGGCCTGGGGCGCAGCCGGGGATGGAGGCTCACCACTAGGGGGCGAGGCCCACTCCCAGGGGCGAAAACTTGCCGGACGCCAGGAGAGAAATGCTTTGGTCTCCCGGGTGGGGGGTGCTACCTGCCGCGAGGACCTCGGCGCTCCGGACAGAACCCCACCCGGGGCGGGGCGGGGATTCGTACAGCCCAGCGGGCAGGGCCTCGGGCCAGCCCTGCGCTGACCAGCATTTCTGGGCCAGGGGGTCTGGACTACCTCGTGCTGAACCACCTCGGCGGCCTTCCGGCCGGCATGCAAGCCCGCAGCGCCCAGGCCACGCACTGGCTCGTGCAGGTGCTCCCCGAAACCAGCGGCCCTGCCCCTTCTCGCCCTGCCCTCCTCCCGAGCGCACCCATCCCAGCCCAGGGCTCCGCCCCGCGTGCAAAGGCGCTCCTCCCTCCTCGGCTCCTCCCGGGGGACGTCCGGGCCCCGTCCCTTTGGGTCCTAGGCTCCGCCCCTCCTGGCCTTGGCTCCGCCCTAGTATGGAGCCCGTACCCCTCCACCTGTGTCCTCGGGCCCCGCCCGTCGGGCCGGGCCCCGCCTCTGCCCTGTGACTCGCCGTCGCCGCCTGCAGGTGAACTTCCTGAGTTATGTGCAACTGACTAAGTTGGCGCTGCCCAGCCTGACTGACAGCAAGGGCTCGCTGGTGGTGGTGTCCACGTTGCTCGGTGCGTGAATGTGGCTCTAGCTCTTGGGGGAGGGGCTTGGAGAGGACGGGCTTCGTGCGGGAGAAGCGGAGGGGCGGGACTGCTCCCTGGAAGAAGAGGAGCATCTTGTGGCCCCTCAGCAGCTGCCCTCCTGCGCCCCTAGGCCGTGTGCCCGTGTCCTTCTCCACCCCCTACTCAGCGGCCAAGTTCGCGTTGGACAGCTTCTTCGGCTCCCTGCGGAGGGAGCTGGATGTTCAGGACGTGAATGTGGCCATCACCATGTGCGTCCTGGGCCTCCGGGATCCGGCCTCCACTGTGGAGGGAGTCAGGTGAGGCCTGGGTGTGAGCAGGGAACCATCGGTTGCATGCCGTGGGAACCCACCGCAGTCCCTACCATCTCCCTCCCTAGGGGCTTCATGAGAGCCAAGGCGTCCCCGGGACCCAAGGCGGCCCTGGCTGTGATCCGAGGTGGTGCTACACGAGCCTCCTGTGTCTTCTACCCGTGGCGCTTGCACCTGCTCTGTCTGCTGCGAGGCTGGCTGCCGCACCCGAGGGCCTGGTTCATTCGCCAGGACCTCAACATCTCTGCAGTTGCAGCCTGAGTCCCCTGGGGCTCCTGTCTTCCCAGACGGGGGGGGGGGGTACCATCCAGCTGTTCCTGGAGTCGGGACACTAACAAAGACACCTCCGAGAGGGTGGCCGGAGTCCAAGATGGAGTCATCAGGGCAAAAGCCAAACAGAATATCTGCGGGCACCTGGAAACAAACTGCAGGTGTTCGGCACCCCCTCAGTCTTGGAAGGCAGCAGCCCAGACTTGGGGTTCTTGGAGGTCACTGGTGACATGTGATCATTGCTTCCACTGTGCAAATAAGAAACAGTCTCCAGAAAAGTGATGCTCCCTCCCCAGGTCGCCTGAGGTGGATGCCCTGAGTCACCTCTGGGAGCCTCTGAGTCTCAGTTGATTCTTTCCACTATTCCAACTGGGAGCATTTCCCACCCCCAGCTAGGGTCTCTGGTACTCTTGACACCTGCGGTCCACCTGATGGCCAGGTGGGAAGAAGAGGAGAAGAGCATATTCTGGGCTAGACTCAGCCTCCCGTTTCATAATAAAAGGTCTTCCCTTGCTTATGTACATATATCTATTACTCAAATTCCTTTTGCCTTCCAATTTTAGGAGCCGGGAGAGGGGCTAGAACTATCAACCTGTTTTGTAGGTGGAGAAATGGAGACAGACAGGATGGGCTCCCCTCAGGAAGTCAGTGGGAGAGGCAGGGGCACTGATGGACCTGCAGGACTTGGTTGCAGCGTCAGCAATAGTGTAACCGGGCCCCACGCCCTTGAGGTCAAGGATCTTGGGCCTCGCTGTTGGAGTTTGGTCTTACAGTTGTTCCCATTCTGAGGATGACGCTGTAGCTTAGGCAGGTTGGGCTAATGAGGGCCACAGCTGCACATCTGTCAATTAAAAACGGACGCTCCTCAAAATGGAAAGCCAGTGCTGCTGGTCTAAAGCAATTGTAAAAAATAACTGGCATGGATACAATGTTACAAAAAGCTGCTACTGTGGGCTGTCCAGGGCTCTGTCCAAGAAAGACTGTCCTCGTCACACCAGTCCCAAACTGAGGCTGTCTCTTAGAGACAAGTAAGATTGACAGAAGAAGGGGTAAAAGGGGCGCGGAAATCAGAACTTCCAGATCTTGTTGTTTCCACCACCTGATTCAAGGTTGTTCAGCAGGCATCCCTCGGCCTGGCATCATCCCAGCACGACCTTACGTCACGTCAAATGCCACCAGGAGGCACTGTGACCACTCCCTTCATGAAATCAATAAACCCGTTGATGGAGGTTTTTTCGTGCCACCTTACATATGGAAAAACTGGGGGGCCTGGGAGGTGAGGTTGCTATGTCCGGGTTAACCAACAGGCTGCAGCTTCGAACTCTGCGGCCTTTGAGGCACCACCACCACGTCCGCTGGTCCCGGGGTCAACGCGCATGCTCAGGGAGCCTCCGGACGCCAGGGGGCGCGCGCGTTGTTCTTGCCTCTCTGGTCTGCGCCTCCAGCAGCGAGTAGATATCCCAGAGTTCCGTGTGGCGCCGGCCCTTCCGCTCCGGGAGCCATTGGAGAGCAGCAGGTGAGTTCGTTCGCGCCTGACTCTTCATCCTTCGCCATCCGGGCCCCCAGGCCCGCTGGGCGGGTTGGAGGGTGGCTGGGCCCGGCGAGCGTGCCCGAGGAAGCCGCGGCGCGGGGTGGCGGGCGCCTTGCCGGGACTCACCCCAGCCCTTCTCCCCATCGCCTCCCGCAGCCATGGCTCTGCGCTACCCCATGGCCGTAGGCCTCAACAAGGGCCACAAGGTGACCAAGAACGTGAGCAAGCCGAGGCACAGCCGCCGCCGAGGGGTGAGTGCTGGGAGCGGCGGGGCCTTCCGGGCAGAGGCGCGAGCCCTGGCGGACCGCGTCGGCGCGAGGCTCGGGTGTGTGCCGCGGGCATGGGCCCTGGGCCGGGGACCGCCGTCCCGTGTCGCGATACTGTGGACGGCAGCCGGGGGCAGGCAGGCTGAGGGCTGGAGTGCAGGGGCCGGGTGCGCCCCGGCCCGGCCCCGCCCTGACGGCCGCCCTGCCCCCAGCGCCTGACCAAGCACACCAAGTTCGTGCGGGACATGATCCGCGAGGTGTGTGGCTTCGCCCCCTACGAGCGTCGGGCCATGGAGCTGCTCAAGGTCTCCAAGGACAAACGGGCCCTCAAGTTCATCAAGAAAAGGGTAGGTGGGCTGCTAACGGGGGTGCGCCGCGAGGGGCCCCGGGGCGCAGGCTGATGGGTGGCCTTCTTGCCGCACAGGTGGGAACACACATCCGGGCCAAGAGGAAGCGAGAGGAGCTGAGCAACGTCCTGGCCGCCATGAGAAAGGCAGCTGCCAAGAAGGACTGAGCCCCCTTTCCTCAATAAACCATCCCAGAAAACCATGGCTCCTGCGTCCTGGTGTGGGGGGTCGTCTGCTGGGGACAGACATGCCCTGGGGGCAGGCAGCTGACACAGAAGCAGGTAGCCAAGTGGTCCTGGAAATGCTCTTTAATCATGATCGCACCGGTCTGCATGATCAAGCTATAATTGAGGACCTGGGACCCAGGTCACCTGGCCAAGCCAATGGGTGGGTGGCTTTGCTGCCAGGCCCAGCGTCCTTCCCCAAGCATACAGTTCAGTCCAGTCCAGGCTGGGCCTGCTGCCATCACCGCTCCACAGCCAGGGCCTCGGCCTGCTGCCCAGGGCAGGAGAAGGCGATGTCGAAGACCTCCCGGTAGTGCTCCACGAAGTGCACCTCCAGGCCCTCGGTGATGAAGGCCGCCAGGTCGTGAAAGTCCTTCCTGTTCTCCGCGGGCAGGATGATGCACGTCACCCCAGCACGCTTGGCCTGGAAACAAGGATGCTGAGTGCCAGGTCCAGGACCCTGGGCTCCCCACAGCCTAGGGAGGTGGTGGTCCCTTGTTTCTTGGTCATCTGGGACACACCCATASCCCCCTGCTCCACACCAGCCCCACCTCATGATACCCCACACCAATAGGGACTGTCCACTGTCTTAAAACAGGGCTGGAGGACCAGCTGGGACAGCCAGCTCAAGTTGGGCTCTGGGTCCAGGGGGCCGGCCTGTCCCGTGGAGGGTCTGGGAACTCACTGCAATCGTCTTCTCCTTAATGCCACCAACAGGCAGGATCTTCCCTGTGAGGGAAACTTCACCAGTCATAGCGAGGTTCTGCCGGACAGGCTGATTCATGGCCAAGGACAGTAGGGCCGTGACGATGGTGCAGCCAGCACTGGGGCCGTCCTTGGGGGTGGCACCCTGGTGGGAGACATAGGTGGGCAGGTGGCCACTGTTGAGGGTGGCAGGARGGGTCTTGGGGTGGTAGAGGGGAGAGCTCACCTCAGGCACATGCAAGTGGATGTGGGAGGTGACCAGGTACCCATTGCTGGGGTCCTGCTGCATCAGGAAGGCCCTGGCGAAGGTGTAGGCAATGCGTGCGCTCTCCTTCATCACCTCCCCCAGCTGGCCCGTCACCTCCAGACTGCCATCCTGGTCCTCCTTGTTGCCCTTGAATGGTGGCCGCCTCAGGGACGTTTCAATAAACAAGGTGGATCCTCCTGGAGGAGGGGGTGGAGCCTGTGAGCACCAGTGGGTCCTGAAAACCTGCCTCTGCAGAGCACTAACAGTGGACCCAGCCTGAGCAAGCAGGGTCCTAGTCACTGGGAACCTCCTTTGCACAGCCCAGAACCTGCACCCACCCGTGGCCAACCCCGGCCCTCTCTGCCCAGGGTTATGAAGACTCCCCCCCAGTAACCAGTGCTGCCCTCAGCTGGCACCCACAGGCTGCCCTGCTGCCAAGTATAGCCCACTCCCCAGCTCCCTGCCCTTAGGTCAGGGTGGGCTCAGACTGGGGGCCGCCCCCACCCTCCCAGGTGTCACCACACTGCTGGCTGCCACACCTTTTTTCTTGCTTAGCTCCGAATCCCTGGGCTTTGTTCCACATGGTCCCTCAGGGGGGAGGTGTTCAAAGGGATGGTGAGCTACAAGCCCTTGCAGCCCTGGGGTCCAGCTCACCCATGGCGGTCCAGGCCAGGCCCATGACCACACCCGGCGGCGTCACATCGTACATGCGCTCCACTGTGAACACGGGCTTCCCCACAAAGTCCTGCAAGTTCTCAGGGGTCACCTCCACAGACTCGGCCTCACCGCTGACAATCTTGTAGGCCGACTTCCGCAGCACCTGGGTGGACAGCAGGGTGCAGGTGGGCGGCGCGGGGTGGAGGGGCAGAGCGGGGCAGGAGCAGGGCCAGTGGGCAGAGTCGCTGCTCACCTTCTCTACCTGCTTCTGTAGGTTGCGGACGCCACTCTCCCGGCAGTACTGCTTGATGAGCAGGGTCAGCACATCTGAGGACAGCCTGGCCTTGCTCTCGTCCAGGCCACACAGGGTGCGGGCCTGAGGCACCAGGTACCTCTACAGGAGGAGTACTGTCAGGGCCCAAAGTGGCCCAGGACCTCAGGCCCCACCTACCCACCTGGGGCCTGGCTGGCAGATGGGACCAGCAGGCACTAGCAAGCGGGGTTGCAGGTGCCTGGCCCTGCAGAGGCCACATGCCCCCGTCCTGCCCTTCTTAGGCTACTGCATCAACACAGACCCTCTTGCTGTCCCAGTCACCCTGTGTGCCACTCCCTACAGGAAAGCCAAGCCCCCGGGTCCCCTGGGGTCACCCCACCACTAGACTTGAGTCTGTGAGGCTGCTGACTGCCCGCCTCAGTGAACAGGAAGATGGGGTCACAGGTTCCAAGGTCACCCAGAGCCCAGCACGGCTCCCGTCACACAGTGGCCCTAAGCTCTGGCAGTGTGGCCTAAGACATCTGAGACACAGGGCCAGAGCCACATTCATCCTACCCCGGGGTTGGTCCCTAGACTCCTGAGGGGTCCTGTGTGCCTGTCCTCCAGCCCCAGACACTGAAGGCTCAGCAAGGCAGGGGGAGGACACTGGGGGTGGGGAGGGGAGAGGCCCCCCCCCCAGCCTTTCCAGAAAGCAATCGGAGATCCTGCTCCGGGTGGAACCAGGCGCCTCAGAGGCCACTGTGCTGCTGGGGACCACCCAATCTAGTCTATCAAAGCACCCAGGCCTGGGCCAGAACTCCCAGCGTGACACCAAGAGCAAGTGAGCACACTTCCTGCACCCAGTGCACGTCTCTGGCAGGCAGGCATCTCAGTGTGACCTCAGGGAGGGGACGCTAGAGTGGCTCCCGCCACGGAACAGCGTGACCCCGAGGCAGGAGAGTGTTCCAAGGACACCTGTGCCTGAATTCCTTTCTTGCTTTCTGGCCTCATCTACCTTCCGCTGCGCAGTCCACAGTGCCCCTGCCCAGGGCCACATCCGCCCTGCAGTCCCGTGAGTGGACTTCTGCAAAGCGGGCCACTGCAGGCACCAGGCCCAGCAGCTGGCGGCACTGAGGTGGGTTTGCAGAGCCGAGACCCAAGCAAGGCAGCTCCTGCCTCTGGGCCGGAGGCAGCAGGGACRGCTGGGCCGGAGGCAGCAGGGACGGCTGGCCCTCACCTCCGCAATGGCCAGTTTCTCCTGGGCCACGTAGCCAGACACGTTGATCATCTCCATGCGGTCCCTCAGCGGCTCGGGGATGGTCTCAGTGATGTTGGCCGTGCAGATGAACAGCACCTGGGGAAGGTGGTCAGGTGCTGCCACTCCAGGGGGCCTTGCCAGCCCCTGCCCCGCGAGCCCCAGGCAGCAGGACACGCACCTTGGATAGGTCCACAGGCACGTCCAGGTAGTGGTCCAGGAAGTTGGCATTCTGCTCCGGGTCCAGCAGCTCCAGCAGTGCTGAGGAGGGGTCCCCCTGGTAACCCCGGCCTATCTTGTCCACCTGGAGTGGCAGAAGGCAGGTGGCACTGGCACTTTGCCCCACTCCTGTGCCACTCAGGACAGCAAGGGACAAGAGGGACACCTTCCCTCTATCAGAGCCAGTGTCACTGAGACGGTCCCAGTAGGGTGGATCCCCCACAGTGACAGCACTCCCTGGTCTGGGCACCCGGCACCCTGCACCCTGCACCCTGCACCCTGCGGCATGTGTGCCGGGGAGTGAAGGGTGGGCCGCAGCACGGCCAGGGCGGCTGGAGGGCGAAGCCCGGCACACACCTCGTCTATCAGGACCAGGGGGTTCTCCGTCTTGGTCTTCTTCAAGCACTGGATGATCTTCCCGGGCATGGCCCCCACGTAGGTCCGCCTACAGCGGGGGGCACAGCTGGGTCAGGAGCCCAGGAAGGCCCCAGGGCCTCAGCACACCCTGCACTCAAGCAATGAGGAAACCACCAGCCGCCGCCGCCGGCAGCAACAACACGCAGTCACCCCTGACCTGCCTCGCACCTGAGCCGGAGACGCAGGTTCTCCAGCCAGACACGAGTGGC